TCCAGGTGACATTGGGGGTCCCATCCCACCTCACCCAACCTGTCCCAAAAAAAGGGCCCAGGTGACATTGGGAGTCCTTGTCCCAAAATGTGTCCAGGTGACCTTGAGGGTCCCTGTCCCAAAAAGGGTCCAGGTGCACTTGGGGGTCCCAAACCTGGCCCGGCGTGTCCCCAAATGCATCCGGGTGCCCCTGGAGCCCCCCCTGCCCCCCCTTGCCCCCCCCGGCCCCCCATGTCCCCCCCCTGCAGCGCCGTGTCCCCGCAGGGTTCATCAAGGTGCTGCTGTACATGGCCTTCATGACCATCATGATCAAGGTTCACACCTTCCCGCTCTTCGCCATCCGCCCCATGTACCTGGCCATGAGGTGAGACACAAACCCAGCCCTGTCCCAGGACATTCCCAGCCCATCCCTGTCCCATGTCCATGGCCATGAGGGGAGACACAAACCCATCCCTGTCCCATGTCCCTGGCCATGAGGGGAGACACAAACCCAGCCCAGGACATTCCCATGTCCCATGTCCCTGGCCATGAGGTGAGACACAAACCCAGCCCGGGATTCCCAGCCCATCCCTGTCCCATGTCCTTGGCCATGAGGTGAGAGACAACCCCATCCCGGCACTCCCAGTGACTCCAGAACCTACCTGGGACATTCTCATCCCCTCCCTGCCCCATGTCCCTGGCCATTAGCTGAGCTCCAACCCCATCCTGGCTCCAGAACCTTCCTGGGACATTCCCAGCCCTCATCCATGTCCCTGGCCACGAGCTGAGCTCCAACCCCATCCCAGCTCCAGAAGCTTTCTGGGACGTTCCCAGCCCCCATCCATGTCCCTGGCCATGAGCTGAGCTCCGTCCCCCCAATCCTGGGACATTCCCATCCCTTCCTATCCCATGTCCCTGGCCATGAGCTGAGCTTCGTCCCCCCAATCCCTGGCTGTTCCCATGTCCCTGGCCATGAGCTGAGCTCCGTCCCCCCAATCCCTCCCGGCTCTGGATCCTTCCCGGTGGGTGCCATCCCTTGGTGTCCCCTCAGGCAGTTCAAGAAGGCCGTGACCGATGCCATCATGTCCCGCCGGGCCATCCGCAACATGAACACGCTGTGAGTGCCCTCCCCAAACCTCCCCAAACCTCCCCAAACCTTCCCAAACCTTCCCACAACATGAACACGCTGTGAGTGCCCTCCCCAAACCTCCCCAAACCTTCCCAAACCTTCCCACAACATGAACACGCTGTGAGTGCCCTTCCCAAACCTCCCCAGACCTCCCCAAACCTCCCCAAACCTTCCAAAACCTTCCCAAACCTCCCCAAACCTCCCCAAACCTTCGCAAACCTCCCCAAACCTTCCCGCAACATGAACACGCTGTGAGTGCCCGGCATTCCCAATCCTGCCCTTCCCAAACCTCCCCAAACCTCCCCAAACCTTCCCAAACCTCCCCAAACCTCCCCAAACCTTCCCTTCCCAAAACTTCCCAAACCTGCCCTTCCCAAACCTTCTCTTCTCTTCTTTTCCATTTTTGGGAACGAGGACAGAAGAAGCCCCTAAAGGGAAGGGTTTTTGGGGATGATGAAGGCAGCATCCCCCCAAGGGGAGGGTTTTTAGGGGTGGGGAAGGAAGCAGCCCCCAGTGCAGAGGGTTTTGGGGGGTGAGGAAGGAAGCAGCCCCTCAAGCAGAGGGGTTTTGGGAATGAGGAGGGAAGAAACTCCCCTAAAGGGGCAGGTTTTTGGGGATGAGGAGGGAAGCAGCCCCCCAAGGGGAGGGTTTTTGGGAATGATGAAGGCAGCAGCCCCCATGCAGAGAGTTTTTGGGGATGAGGAAGGAAGAACCCTCCCAGGCAGAGGGTTTTTGGGGGTGAGGAGGGAAGCAGCCCCCTGAGCAGAGGTTTTGGTGCCCGTCCCAGGTACCCCGACGCCACGGCCGAGGAGCTGCAGGCCACGGACAACGTTTGCATCATCTGCCGGGAGGAGATGGTGACGGGGGCCAAGCGCCTGCCCTGCAACCACATCTTCCACACCAGGTCTGGGGGGGCTCTGGGGGGGTCACCAGTGACCCAGGGCTGGTTGTGGTGGCTTTGGTGAGGTCACTACTGACCCAGGGCTGGTAGGGGAGAGTTGGGAGAGGTGCTGGTGCTGGTGATGCTGGTTGTGGTGGGTTTGGTGAGGTCACCGGTGACCCAGGAGTGGTGGGGATGTTTTTGCTGTCGTGGGGGTGGTTGTGGTGTCCCCGGTGCCCCAGGGGTGTTTTTGGTGCCCGGTGGGTGCCCGTGGTGTCTCCAGTTTGACCCCGGTGTCCCCATTGTGCCCCAGGGGTGTTTTTGGTGCCCTGTGGGTGTTTTGGTGCCCAGTGGGTCTTTTTGGTGCCCAGTGGGTGTTTCTGGTGCCCCGTGGATGTTTTTCGTGCCCCATGGGTGCCCGTGGTGTCTCCAGTTTGACCCCGGTGTCCCCATTGTGCCCCGTGGGTGTTTTTGGTGCCCCGTGGGTGTTTCTGGTGCCCCGTGGATGTTTTTCGTGGCCCATGGGTGCCCGTGGTGTCCCTGGTTTGACCCCGGTGTCCCTCTTGTGCCCCAGGAGTGTTTTTGGTGCCCGGTGTGTGTTTCTGGTGCCCCAGGGGTGTTTTTGGTGCCCAGTGGGTGTTTTTGGTGCCCGGTGGGTGCCCGTGGTGTCCCCTGTTTGACCGTGGTGTCCCTGTTCTTTGCCAGCTGCCTGCGCTCGTGGTTCCAGCGGCAGCAGACGTGCCCCACGTGCCGCATGGACGTTCTCCGGGCCTCCCTCCCGGCACAGCCCCCCCCCGGAGCCCCCCGAGCAGCCCCCAGCACCGGCACAGACCCCCCCGGGGCCACAGCCCCCCAACTGTGAGTGTGAGAGGGGAATGGGGGGAAATGGGGGTCCCACAGCCCCCCAACTGTGAGTCTGGGGGGG